CCATTGCTGAGCATACAACCACTGTTGAAACCACTGTGCATTTTCAGTGCCTTCTAACCTAGGAGGATCATCTTCTAGCACTATATTGGACATTATATTGTTGTCACCTATAGCATTTTTATTGGCTAACTTTTGGAAGTAGATCATCAAACTTTTCTTCCTAATCTATCTCATTCTGACAGCTCCACTGAAATTTGTCCACTATAGGTGACCCTGCTAGTATTTTAAATCCTGGTGGCATAACTTGCAGCATTATGGCAACACACAGCCACTAGTACGATAAACTGACAGTTGTATGATGGGAATTGGGACGATGGTACCCAATGGTAAAGTACAGGGTTTTGTACCCATAAGGGAAATATAAGCCAACTTGTTTTGCATCCATTTGTGCATTTCAGGAGAGGGGAGGATGAACAGGCTCATTCTTCTAAGAAATAACAAGTGTTGGAAAAGTTATAGGCCTTCCCTCAGGCTTTACAGTTTAGAGCAACAATGTTTCCAACCCCAGAAGTCTGGGTGACAGTGTTGACTGCTCTTTCTGGTAGAGTACAGGTACCAGATAATGTCATCTAAAAGGGACCTGATTCTGCCTATGGGGCCCCTGCAGCTAAGCTCTCCTGAAGACCACAGCCATACGTCTATCCACAAGCTTCAGTGGGAACCAAAAGTTCCCATTTGAATGAACTTATATATCAAATTATTTTATACTATAGTAAAGATCAATAGGTGCATCCTATTAGGCTACAGAAGCTCAATGATTGCTTTATTCTCAGAGCATTTTTTACTGCCTCATTCCTATTCCTATCAGGTACAGAGCTCTAAGACATGAAGGTAAAGATGGAAAAGATATAGCCTCGGTCCGTGAGGACCTTACCATTTACTTCAGTAACTCTGAAGAAAAAGATGGGGGAGAATGTAGTGTACATCTCTGATTTAGGGATAATGTGCCATGGTGATGAAATCTCAGGAAGTCTTTATATCATTATGTGACTGAAATGAAGGTGGAGAATGCCCTTCAGTGGTGAATCTAGAATTAAGTGAAAAAAAAAATTAAAATGTAACAAAAACAAAATATAAAGAGAATAACCTTGAAGGTCAATGCTAATTTTGCATTTGTAGTCTTTTCCCTTTAGTTCTTAATGCCAGGGATGCCCATGGGACATGGTGCCTTAATTTGTATTGGCTCATCGAAGACCAGACAAGACCAGCGTTCGTTTCACCTAAGGACCTCAAATTCTGTCAGGGTTTTATAAAATTGAGTGGAATACAAACATAGTCATAATGGGTATATATTTGAAAAGTTCAGCATTTCAAGGTTGTACCTCATTTTATTCAGGAGGAAATAAAATAGCTGCAAAACCTTTTCCTTGTGGTTTTGTCTCAGAATCTAGGGCTTGCATGCCTTGTATAACTTGTGAACCTTACCCCCAACTCAGAGTAAATGTGGTGAGGATTAAATACTGAATATGCAAGTCTCTCCCTTTAAAACAATTAAAACACAAACAAACAAAACATAAACATACCTCTTAGGTTATTGCTCTATTTTTCCCCTCCTTTTTATCAGAAAACTTGTCAAGGAATTATCTATACTCACAATATCATGGTCGTTGCTTCACCCACTTCAGTCTGTCTTCCAATATTTGGACTTCCACCCTAAGAATGTGAATTAGTGGTTTATAATCATATTAGGATAGGAGCTCTGACAGCGTAATGCCTAAGGCACTTAACTGCAAACCAGAAGGCTAGCGGTTCAAATCCACCAGTCACTCCTCGGAAGGAAGGTTGGGCAATCTACTTCCGTAGTGATACTGCCTCAGATACCCAAGGAGGGGTCGTTATGAGTTGAGTCCGACTCGACAGCACAAAACAACAACAGCAGCAGCAATTCATATTGATGAAATTGAGGGATATTTTAAGTCTTTTTAAAATTTATAACTCAACAAGAATTCAATTGTTGTTAAAAATATTTTCCCCTTCTGATTTTGCCCTTTCATCATGTCTTCTCTTTCTCCCCTGCCTTTGCATTAAATGCTGACATTTTTCAAGGCTTGGTTCTGGACCTACTCTTCATCACGGCTATATACTTTCTCCCTAAAAAAGTGCATCCACATCCATTGCTTTAATTAATTACTACTATAAAGTAGATGACTCACAAATTATTTGTTCAGTTCAAACTTCTCCTCTAAGCTCTAGATTCACATATCCAGTAGCCTTTTGGAATCATCTAGTCCAAAACGTCAATAGTGCCAAGCCTGAAAACCCTACTCTAGTGGGAGTCTGAGCTTTTAACATTGCAGATACGATTACATCTCACATGAGTATGTATGTGTGTATGTACACACACACGCACACACACACATGCTTACAGAAAATGCTTCAATTGCTTTCCACTTTACTAAAAAAAGATAGTTAATATGGCCCTTCCAGGAAAAAAAAAAAAAACCTGCCATCAGTGGATTCTGATTCATAGCAACCCTCATTGGGTTTCCAAGGCTGTAAATCTTTATGGAATTAGATTGTCTCATCTTCCTTCCATGGAGCAGTTGGTGGGTTTGAACCACCAGTCTTCTGGTTAGCAACCAAATGCCTTACCCACTACACCACCAGAGGTCCTTAATATGGTCCTCCTAGTCCTTAATAATCTAGCCTCTACCTAACTCTTCAGGTCACCCAGCACCATATTCTCACTTAGGCTCTATGTCCCAGTCACATTCCTAATCACTGTTTTTCTTCTCAGAACAGGATATTTGCACATGTTTTTCTTTCAATCTGGAAGTTTCTTCATCTAATGAAGCTGCATTCATCCTCCAGATATCAGCTGAAGATCTTTGCCTTGGGGAAGCTTTGCATGACCTTCCTCACTGGAGTAATTCCACCTTGTTTGATGCTCATGGCTTCATATATCTTCCTTTCTGGGTGTACATACTGCAAATTTAAATTGGCTCATGTGTTTGACTAAAATTTGTCTCTTTCATTAGCCTGGAAGTTACAAAAGATGAATAATTTATCTTTATTATATTTCAAGTAAAATTACACTACAAATGGCTAGGTGTTAAAGGTTGGATCTGTAATGACCAAATTTCTTCACATAACATATGAGAAAAGTTAGTCCTTAGAATGCCAAGTGTCTTCAGCAAAGCCACACAGCTAATTAGTAGCCAAGGGAGAGCTTGAACGTAAGTCTCTCACTATCAAGTGCTTCATTTTGTGTCTAAATCCGTGTTTTGTTCATTTGTTTTAGCCAGTCAATTTTATCAAAGTAAATCTTTTATAAAAGCACAGTTTAAAAAATAGATTAAATGAGATTAAAGTAGATCACTGTTTGACTGAAGACAGCTCGATTCAACCTTATCTCAGAAATTCTATAACTTTTTACACTGTTCCCCTGCTTACCCCTTGTCAGAGTCCTGAGGAACTTGACTCAGAATGACTTGGCAGAGGATCCCAGAATGCAGTGAGTTGTGGTTGCAGTTGCAGGTGGTTAGTTAGATGGTGGTGAAGGAGCTCACTCCCATTTTTCTGGAATTTGGATGTTAAAAAAGTAAAATATCACTACTTGTCATGAACAGTTGAGGTATTGATAATAGTTGGAAACACAAATGTTAAAGGTAATGTCATTTAAAAAAAAAAGAGGAGACTTCTTTTCCTATATTTTTCTCTTATCTATATTTCAATCCAAGTTCAAGAAGATAGTAATAAAGTGAGTAAACACCGTAGAAATTCTTGGTGTATTTAAAGAGGGGGTGATTAAACAGGTATCAATTATATATTTATAATGAACATGCAAATTAGAAAGATGTTAACTTTTTTTTTTCTAAGAGCCTAGATTTTTCAAACTATAGAATACATAGAAAATGCATCTATACTAAGAAATGTTTTAGCGCTTGACTCTCACATTCCACTGTATTTAAAATGTAACAAAAATGAACAGCAAATCATTGTATCATTGATTGAATGGCTGCTATTTAGAAATTACAGCCTTATGTTCAGTATCTAAATCTCATGAGTTGTTACTGAAATATCTCCAACACATTAGTTGATTTTTTTTTTTTTTTTTTATACAACTTTTCTTCTGAAGATGTGTTGGGTCAAGTACTTACTTTTACAATTTTTTATTCAAAACATTCAGCCTGATTGACTTGTTTTGTTAGATTATATACTGTGCTCTGGTGGCACAGTGCCTAAGGCATTTGACTGCTAAACAGAAGGTTGGTGGTTCAAACCCATGAGCCACTTCACAGAAGGAAGATGGGCAATCTACTTCCATAAAAAATTTACTGCTTGGAAACCCAGTGGGGGTCACTAAGAGTCAGAATCAGCTCAATGGTGGTGGGTTTGGTTTTAGTGTTGGTCTACTCAAGCTATCAAATGAGGAACACTAGACTCCCTATATTTGAAATCTCCTTTGAACTTTTCTTCAGGAGTCTTTTTAATCTCTCTTCTTTTAAATTACTATCCAAAAGAAGTAATTTCATAATCTTCATGAATTGACACACTGTACTTACTATATGGTGGCTGAATTTATTTGTAATTCTGAAGCTTTGTAATTGGAAGATTATCATTATAGGATGAACATGACATTTAAAATACTCATTTCCTCTATCTTAAGCATATAATGTTGCTATATTGCTATTTTCTGAAATTCCCTCATCAACATTTCTCAGGCCTAGGAAGTTGCATCTATTAACATATATTATGTTATGTATTGTGACTCTTATTTCCATTTTCTTTATGAAGGGGAAAAAAAAGTGCCACATGAAAGAAAAGCTAATTTAGAAATAAGTGAAAACCCTACCAGTGGTGGAAAAGTAAACTAAACATCAGATACATGTTCGCAGTTCTTGGCAAAGTTATCAAAATTTAACCCGAAGCATATTGGAAAACATCACTCATGATGAAGCCCCCTCCCTCTCTCCCTTTTGCCTTCTAAACTCCCTGTAAACCACATCTGTTTCCCACTGATAGCTTTTAACACACATCCCTTTCATGTCTCCTAACAGGAACTGGAAATTGAGAGAAATGTGTGCTCACCAACATATAAGAGACACCCTAGGAGCCAGTCTGAAGGTTCTGTGAAAGACTCAGACAAGAAAAGCGGGGAAACATCTTTTGACAAGATGCCATCTGAAAGTGGTCACAGTGCTATCTTTGAAGGTTAGCATAACATTTTGGTGTGCTTTTAGGGATCATACCTTGCACAACATGAAAAGTTAATAAACAAAAATAATGAAAATTTTGTTTAAAATTATTAAGAAAATGTGGACAACACATAACTCGGGAAAAACAATTCAGGAAAAATTAAACTATATTTAAAAGCTTCTATATCTATGATTTAAAAAACTAATTAAAACATTTTTAAATTGATTATAAGTTAGTACAACCAAGCATTTTCAGGATGAAGTTTTTAAAACAACACATTTGCCTATCATCTGACTTTTCCTTCTTTGAAAAAGAAAGGAAAAGCTTCTTGTCTCTTTCTATAAGTAGTAAAGGGATAGAGCATAAGTGTCTGTTAGTGGCAAAAAAAAAAAAAAAAAAGATTAATGCCTTCAGCATTTTTTTCAGATAATTAAACTAAATGTACTTAATGAATTTGGAAGAAAATGTGAGATGACAGTGTCATATTTTTGGAGGAACCTGATAAATTTGATTAATGTTTTATAAATGTCATTTAAAAGTTAATAGCTCATATGTTAGAAATTGCACTATTACTGTAATTTTCAACAATGACAGAAATACAAAATATAAATGATTTATTGAGAAATGCTGATATCATTTATCATTTTTAGTTAGACACATTCTGGATTTTTCCATGTTATCCAAATAGTGCAGTTACATAATATATATAATGTTTCCTAAAAATTATATTGGTATAATTTTTAAGGAATCATTTAGAATATATGTCAAGTTGCAGCAGTCAATATTAGCAGTCTGGAATAATTTATGAAATACAGCAGTTCACAACTAAAGAAAGCAAATATTACTCTGTTTTAAAACTTTGCTACTTAGACTCTGAATAATAGGTAGAGCATCAGCATCACAAGGAAGCTAGTGAGAAGTTCAGAACCTTGGGTCCTCGATCTATTGAAATCAGACTCTGAGCTTTAATGAGATCCCTGGATGACATCTATAAACATTACAGTTTGAGAAGCAATACTCTAAAACAGTGCAGACTGAACCTCAGATAATTTGCATGTAGTTTAGCCCATCCTGATTTCGTTTGGACTGTTGAAGTGGGAGGTGAGGGTCAGAAGAGTAAAGGGAGTTTGCTAATGACGGACTGGGCATGGGTTTCTAAATAAATGTCAACTGGAATCTAAATTTCTGTTTTTCATCTTCAATTCATTTTGGTATGCCCCACTGATATCCTAATATGATTAGCATCAGTCTTGAAGAATTTACTCCACATATCTCTGGCCTGGGATTAAATTTGTAAATTTGTGTGCACTTGGTTGAAGGCAGAAGAGTTAGACCAGCAGAGGCTGAAAAAGAAAAACATTAGAGAGCGCATTTTCTGGTGCTGGGCTGTGGAAATCTTAGCATTGGGAGTCAAGAATGAGGTTAGTACTAATAGGAGTCATGTATCATTAAATCTCTTCATCCTGTGTTTTCATACAAAGGCTTCAAAAACCTTTTTATTTTACAAACTTAGAAAAGATATTTTGGAGGGTAACTACTATTTAATATTAAAATATGATTTAAATTTAAAAGTGACCTAAGATTTAAATTTCAAGGTATATTGAAAATGTTAAATGCTAAACTCAAAAACACAGGGTAGGAAACATTAAACTAAGGATGAACATAGAGACATTTAATTATATTTCATTTTATTTTTGCATTGTAAAAGTGTACTAAGTTCTAGGCTAAAAGAACTTCTTTCATTATGGAATCCTTTTAATTCTTCCCATGGTGTTCAAAATTTCTACTTACAGTAAAACAATTATGATGAGCTATTTTAATACAGTCTACTGACAGGATATATATATATATATATATATATATATATATATATATATATATATATACACACACACACACACATAATCATATATATATATAATATCTTTATATAATATAGGTACATTATATCTACTCAACCAAAAAAAGACTGTATTGATATTGCAGTTCTCCTGCAAAGACACAGAATTTATTCCCAGATAAATAGGTATGCCTGAACAAAGTTTGATAACTGAAAGATATCCTTTTATACGATATCTGAGTGAATGTGACGACCTCATACACTAGTTAAATATCTTAATACCACAAGAATTTCATACATGAAGGCAGTAATTATTTACAACTCTCAACTAAATAGGAGCTTAAAAAAAAAGAAAGAAAAGAAAACTCAGAAAATAGTATTAAAATGCACCTACATTATAACCTGCATATTTCAAATTTAGTTAAACCAATCTAAGCTGATGAATCTATTCCAAGACTCAGGACTTCCCCTGTCATTGGATTAGCTCCTACCTCTTGTCCTCAGCCACCGGTCCAAGGCAGTACAGAAAGGCTCTGTGATTCTTTCGGGCTGCCATTCTATTCTTAATAATAATCTACCTCCCTGTTGTGTTAAATTGTTCTCACCTCCTCTTATTTTGCTTGTTCCACTTTCCTCATTGGCATATGGGTGTCAGAGAAAGTGCCTGATTTCTGTGTGACTGTTGCTGTATTCCATTCACTTTTTCTCAGGAATGTGTTACAACGGTTAGTTTTTCCACTCATTCTAGGTAGACTTGGATCACTTTAACTTAAATGTCAAACATGTGAAAAACATAATTTGATAAATTTGATGATATAATAGGTCTAAGATTAAAAATAAAAAATCAGTGTAGTAATACAAAAATCTGATTTATGAAAATTTCTTTAGATAAAACCAAGTAAATTGGATCAAATAGTGGGAATCTCAGGTACTGATGGTTTACCTACGTGTTTGTGGAATAAAAAATTTACTCTGATGAAAACCTCTTGATCAAGGGAAGCTTCAAATAGCACAGGTAATTGTGTAATGTTCAGCAAGTTTATATTGCTTGACAATTTTTTATATGACAATTACCTTGCTTTTCACTTTTATTCTCTAAACCATAATTTTAATCTTCAAGTCATTATCATGTAAAATGCTAACAGATAAAATATACATTCAAAGTCACTCTTTCAAGGCTTTTGTAATAAGCCTTGGGAATTACTTGCTGTATTTCTCTTTTTATTCTGTTCCATTAAACCTAAATTCATTCCTTGTTCTTATAATACCCTTTCCTCTCCTCTGCAGATTTTACAAAACAAACTGAGAGTTCTGTTCTTTGTAAATTTTCTGTTCATTTCATGTGGTGGGATCTTTGCAACTATTAATGTTTTTAAAATATTCACATGTGTGCACTCTGTGTGTATGTGTGTGCACACACAGAGGTGAAGGTTATTTACACATTTTATTTTTCATTTAAATAAGATTATTTGGAGTAACATTGTCCAACAGAACTTTCTGCAATAATGAAGGAATTCTACATCTGTGCTATCCAGTACGGTAGCTATTAGCCACTTATGGCTCTGAAGCTCTTAAATAGTACTAGTGTTACTGACGGAGCTCTGGTAGTGTATTGCCTAAGGCACTTGACTGCTAACCAGAAGGCTGGCGGTTCAAACCCACCAGCCACTCCTCAGAAGGAAGGTTGGGCAATCTGCTTCTGTAGAAATACCACCTCGGAAACTCAAGAAAGGGTCACTATGAGTCAGGTCTGACTTGACGGCACATAATAACAACAGTGTTACTGAGGAACTGATTTGTTAATTTTATTTCATTTTAATTAATTTAAATTTAAACAGTTACTGCATTGAACAGTACAGAACTTCCCATAAGAAGTGATTCAAGTTTCCAGTTATTAATTTTAAGTTATGATTTAGTTTTATATTTATCCTTATTACAATGTCTGTGGATAAGTGGAAAACAAGGTCATATCAGCTACACATATCAATAATCTGTTATTAAAAAGATTACCTTCAAGAGCTAGTAAGAGTATCTCTTCTCTATAGTTACCTCCTCTATCCTATCTTCCAGTGATAAATTAAAAAAAAAAAATTCAATTGTGTTGCCTTTTTAACATGCTGAAAATGAATGGTTTCACTAAAGGAATGGAAATATCTACTATGAAGCTATGTATTTTTCCATAGCATCTTATCTAGAGCTTGATTGTCTTGGGACATTGAATCCTTTCAGGTCAGGAACCAAATATTCTCTAAATACAGAAGGTCAATAAAATTAAATGAAATAGAGTAAAATGATATTTTTAAATTAACAGCACTTTTTTTTTTTTTTAGTAAGAAGAGCTTCATCTGAAAACTTAGAAATAAATCACTTTGTCCCAGAGCAGTGCAAGTGAAGACCATCTGCACTGTTTGTTTTGCTCTGACTGGTTTATTCTCTCTAATGAGAGGCAGAGGACAGACAGGCTGCTAGATTTTCTGGCTGGATATGCTATTATGGGTCCAAGTGTCCAGCTGTGCTTCCTTACTCACTCATCTCTTACTCATGATCCTGATAATATCTTTATGGTAGGGATATATTTCAGAAGGGTCTGGGGATTTATAAAAGAAAGCCACCTCATTGGATAATTTTAAAACTCAGTCTCATTCAGGAATTGTGCTTATCAGAAGGATGGAGACTTCATCAGCACTCTAAACCAAAACCAAAACCAAACTCACTGCCATCAAGTCATATCCGACTCATAGTGACCCCCGCCTTGAGTTTCCAAGGCAGTATCACTACAGAAGCAGATTGTCCAACCTTCCTTCTGATGAGTGGCTGGTGGGTTTGAACCGCCAGCCTTCTGGTTAGCAGTCAAGTGCCTTAGGTACTACGCCACCAGACCTCCTATCAGCACTCCAAGATATGCTAAAACTAAAGATGAGCTCACTCCCATAGGACATATTTTATTAGGAAAAATAGTGTGTGCAAATCACCATTTTAAATAATCCTAACAGTGAGGCCTTTTGTAAAGTGAAGAATTCTTTTGTAATATCACTGATTATCTCTAATTTATCTGTTTACCCAGTTTAGAGCTTTTTGTGTTTTGTTTGTTTGTTTTGTTTTGCTCTGCTTTTCTCTTTCTCACAGTGGGTTTCACCTGCAGTTTTTCAATGGCTCCCACTGGTTCCTTCTAGTC